TATCTTCACCATAAGCTCATCAAATGTTCGGCTCACTCATTACTTTGTACGTGGAGTATTTGTAAAATAGTTTATTTGTATTGATGGCATAATTTTTATTTTTATCGCTCCGAGTTTTAAAGTGAGGCGAAAAATATTTATCACTCACATTTTTAAAACACAAAACTTAAAACAACAAAAGAAATTTCGGGAAATTTAAATTTATGATGCTTTAGAGAAGCCTCCATACCGACTTTTTATTTTATATCTGCCATATAATCTATACGCAAAATGTGTATACAATTATAGTTGTACTCGGCGTTAAAACCTCCATTAGTCCCTACATTATTCACGGCGAGGTTCCTCTGAACCGCTTTTTAAATCGGTACCGAGCATCGATCAACACTTAAAAGTATCGATTCAGCACATCACTACTGACAAAGATTTCAGATTGTGCTTGTATTAAAACAAATGCGCCTAAAATTATTTACTGAATGCTTGTGTTATGGGTATACTAGTTAAATTTTTATATCCGAGCGCACTTGTGCACAAGGGGTATATTAATTTTGTTCACATAACGGTTGTTTGTAACAGCCAAAACGAATCGAGATAGATATAGACAAATGTATACATAAATGCTCAGAATGAATAGATAAATCGATTAAGCCATGTCTGGCTGTCCGTCCGTCAGTGTACACGATAACTCGAGCAAAAATTGAGATATCTCAACGAAATTTGGTATGTAGGTTTCCGTTAATCCAAGGTAGGTTGGTATTGAAAATGGACTGTAACCACGCCCGCTTCCCATACAACGGTAATTTCCATAAATACGAAAACTTCGATATTTTAGTAACTACTGAAGATAATTCCCTCAAAATTGATATTTACAATAATTTTCAGACGAAAAATAAGAATATTATAAATTTTTGGAAAATGGTTTTGGAAACTTATGGTTACATGTGTATATATCTTGGTAACCGGTGCACCAATTTCTTCCAAACTTGGCACAGTTGTTGGCCTTGATACGGCAACTAAATGGCCGAAAATTAAAAAAATCAGACAATAACCACGCCACATCCCATATAACGGTAATTTAGAGAAATACAAAATCTTCGATAAATCAGTAAATATTAAAGCTAATTTATTCAAAATTGATGCTTGCAACAATTCTGTACCAAGAAATACGTTTATGTTAAAATTTTGGAAAATGGGCGTGGCACCGCCCACTTATGATCACCTATATGTATATCGGTAACCGTTCTACCAATTTGTACCAAACTCGGTATTTTTATTGTGCTTGCCACATAAAAGCAAAACGTTGAAAATTATTGAAATCGGACTAAAATTACGACCGCTTTTCATATAACGGTAAATTTCAGAAATGCTTGAAACTGCAACATTTCGAAATTTAAGGACGCTAATTTACGCTTACCATCTAGCAGTTGCTTTCGGAAAGGTGAAAAAAAATATATTTAATTCTTGCGCCGGGTATTTAATGTTCGGCTCCGCCCGAACTTAGACTTTCTTACTTGCTCTTATTTGTGTGTAATGGTGTAGATTTTTTATTCTGTCAGACAATTTATAAGAATTAAAAACTTGAATAAACAGTATGCGTGTATGTAAATAGATATGTATGTACAAATATATATACATCAGTGAGTTTGGCTGCAAATTGAATGCGAGATTTTATCAATTGACACTTGTGACAGATTTTTCTTGCCTAAAAATCGCATGCACCTGTCAATTTCCGTATTCGCTAATTTAGCATCTCATGAAAACGCGCCTACACATCAATCTCGGTAGAAAACACAAAAAGATCCCTCTAGTTTGGAAAACCTAAATATTACTGACTATTCCTATTTTCTTTCAACAACAATAATTGCAGCTATCTAAGTAATATACTGCGTTACTAAGTACGTGTACTAGAGGCACAAATATAAATATATTTACACATACACACGTAAAAGCATACATATACACATGTGGCATGCACATTGTGAGTGCATTGATACGCGGTTTTGTACCTTAAACGACGATATGTACATCCAAATAATGAGATAAGAAAAACATTGCCACTAAAAACATGCATGTGAACCAACGTACACACACACACACACATACATATGTAAATACCATATCGCTAGCTTAGAGTGAAAAGTTGCTAAGTCCCAATTTAAAATTTATGCAAGAGAGGAAAAAAACTTCTAAAGCCATTTTCTTCCAGTATTTTGTAAAATTTTGAATACAGCATTTTGCCTGCTTAAAGCAAAGCAAAACTCCCTACAAATTAGACGAATTCGATCTTTATTAAAAGATTTTGTACTATTTTCGACTTATCGAAATTTCGGAGTTTTTTTGGACTTAGCAAATTTTCGTTTCAATGAATATACACGAGAAAACATAAAGCAAGGACCTTTATCCTTTTCAAAACGATGCATTTTGAATTTTTCTAGACTCCTGTATCAAAATATGAGTTTTCATAAAAAGCGGACTTAGCAACTTTTCACTCTAAGCTAGCGATATGTATTTGTACATCCAAAAACCTGGGTTCAATCGCAACCATGCGGCTAATAAAATGTTTCATCTTTTTATATAAAGAGCGATCTCGTATTGAAAGTTATCCAAAATTGTAGCAAATTGTCAGGTTTCGGCGTTCTTAGGGCTGATGATACCCGGGTACCCGATTACCCGGGGTTTTTATTATCCGATTTGTCAGGGTACCCGGATAACATACATATCGCTACTTAGGGGCGAAAAGATGCCAGCTCCACTTTTTCCAAAATATAGTTTTAGATGCAAAATGACAGTAATGCGAAACTCCAACTTATTTTCATCTCTCCTGAACAAATTTCTTGGCACCTTTTCACTTTAAGTTAAAGATATGTTTGTGTTGGAATCTTACTTAGACGCATGCATACATACATATCGATCCGTAATTGCGACTTTATCGTAAGCGACGAATTATTGAAAACATTTTTTTTTTTTTTGCAAATAGGTTAAGCTCTAAAGACATCGAAAACGACGTCACCACACTACACGACATTAAGGTTTCATCTACATAATCTAAACGCCTTGTCGACGGCGCCATGATTTTTTTGAACGCGGCAGCGACATCATGAATTTGTTTGAGTTTGACATAAAAGAAGAGGAAGAACCTTATCTGTCGCTAGAAAAATAGAAATAGATCCAATCTGGCCACAGCTACATTTTTGGCTAGTCGCAGTGTTGCCGTGTTGTCGCCAAAATAATTATCTACATAAGAGTACGTGTTAAAATATTTTGACAGCTGTGGTCAGTAGCCCGTCGTTTCCAATGTGTTTCAAGCTTTACAAATACTAGTTACAACGTCCTACAAAATCACAAACTTAGAATATTTACCGCTGCGAGAAAAAGCAAAATGAAATTTATCGTTTGCTTTGTTTTACACTTTTGCGTTCCAACAATTTTATCGTAAACGACACTGTGTGTACAGAGAACTATATTGTAAATAGCAGTTTGAGCTATAGTTTTAACCAAAGTTACATCGGCACTTGCTTCAAAATCAGCTTCTTTCCCTCATCACGTGCACCGCGGCTCGTCTAGCGTGGTATTTTTTTAAACTCTTTCTTAGCCAATGGGTTATAAGATTTAAAAGCATATCAAAAAGATGAAAAACAGACACCTAACGGGGCTTATATTTCAAATTGTATGCATTGATACAGAAAAATTGCGACTGAATTAGAATTGCCATCTTACAACCAGCTTATACGGCCATATAGATTCACACTTTCGAAATTATTTAATTTTGCCGTTTATCTCCTTTCAACTGCTTAAAAGATTTTGATTTTATCCTTTTACTTATCATAACATCTGCACTTCAGCATTTTTTTTATAAAATTTGATTTTAATCTCTAGATTAAAAGTTTTCGTTTAGCCATTTTTTCCCCAACAATTAGTTTTAAAACACACGACGAGTCGAGAAATATAACAACTGATTTCGAAACTTGCCAAAAATCTCCAAAGATTTAGAAAATAAGTTATGCAAAAAAACTAGCCCCATTAGAAAACTATCATTCAATAATGTTGTGTCCAGTTTAAGGAAGAATCAAAAAAAAAAAAAAACACTCCGGTAAAATCGCAAATAGGTATCGATATGTATATATTTTGAGCCTCGAAAATAAAGAGGTTACTCATACGCTCTGTTCGACAACCTAAATAATATGTGAACATTCTATTTGAAGACTTTCCAAAGTTATTAAACAAAAACAATTACGATTTTTTCGAGTGACAATGAAAAAATGAATAATTTCGGATTTTTTTCACTTAAAAAACGTTTTAAGGCTAAACTTGTTCAAATACTTGATTTTTTGTTTATTGTACTTGTTTCTGGAACTACGTTGATTGCAATAAATGCAGGAAGAATGCTTTACCGTTTTATTCTGGCGAGAGAAGGGAGTGACACTAAAAAAAAAAACCACTCGTGAGTTTCGCTCATATGTTTGAACATTTTTGTATATGTATGTATGTATGGAGCAAAAATTGTGAATAAAAGTGTTAAAGCATTTGCGCTTCTCACGTGTCAACTTTATCCTTCACTCTCACTAACTTATTTATGTAGCTTCCAAATGGTAGCAATTTGCTAATACCTTGTCATCAAGGTGACATACTACTTTATCCAACCAATATAGATTATTTCCAAAGCTATTTATTATACACCTTTGTATCATGTGCTGCGGCACTTCTCAAACCCAATTTATGCATTGTACATTAAAGAAAAACAACCATTTTTATACAAACTATATTTGTCTTGAGTAAATAGTTTTTATTAAGGTAGTTGAGTTGCATTTTTATGGAACACTGTTAATTTTTTCATTTTTGACGGAACAGTTATACTAGCATACATACATATGTACATATACAAATATTTATGTACATACATTTGCAAAGTTCTTATTAGTATGTACATACATATCTGTGTATACATACATACGTATAAACTTTTCATTTACAGTTTTGCATTCATAGGATTCAAAGTCAACAGATATTTTATATTTTCATATATTTTCCCTTGCACTAGCGCAGGTGCATACATACATACATAGCTTCATGTTTTATAGTTGCATGCAGTCGCCGTAGCCAATTAGTTTCTGCTATTTTCTTTTTCCTTAAGGATAAGGCTTTTAAACAAATTTTAGCTAACTTAAATTTAAACAATTTTAAAATTTAAAAACCCTATCTAAAATTAATTGTGCGTACATGTAAATAAATCAATGTCATTTGTAATTAAAAAAAAAAATAAAAACACTGTATAACTTATTAAACATAACCTTACACACATATCAATTGATTTATCACTTTGTCATGGTTGCTGCACTCATGATTTACTTCACCTTCGAGCGGAAACCTTTGGCAACAAGTGGCGCCACTTCAGACGGATCACGACCACGCGTCTCTGGCAAATAGAATTTCGTCAACAGGAAGAGCAGTAAACACGCTACAGAGAATGGCAAGAAAACGAAAGCACCCCATAGATTCTGTAGCGATGGAAATGCCATGCCGACTGTGAAATTACAAACCCAAGACGACAAGCTGCCCATCGACATGGCCACCGATCGGGGAGCGACTTCAAAGAGTTCTGGAAGAAGAAAAGACGAGAAAAATTACATAATCCTATATATTTATTGTGATTGTAATAATAACACAGGGCAACACTGATTTTCGACCCTATTAAGCTGGCATTTCAGGGTACTATTTTATATATATATAACGAAAATTTTAAAGTTAAAGTTAGAACCTTTCCCTTAAATTAAAGTTAGAACTTTCGAATACTATCCCGTTATCAGCACAAAAATTTTTTTCCATTCTTTTTGGCCAGTAGGGCGGGGACCATTCGTGTACTCGGGTACTCGGTTATCCGGTTAATATACGTTCTATTTTGTTATCCGGATAATCTGGTTAGTATCCGTTAATTTTACTAGCCGGATATCCGATAAGTATCCGTTAAGTTTTTGATCCGGATATTCGAACTTATTATTATATCAGATATTTGACTCAAACAAGTGTCCACTTAGTATTTTTTTTTTTTAATTTTCACAATTCAGGGTTAAATTTGTTAATTTTTTATAAAAATGTTGTTGATACTTTAAGGGCTGTTTGCAGCTCTCAAGAAAAACGTAATGTTCATATACAATACAATAATACAATATACATTCAAATACATTTTTTCTAACAAAGTTTCTTAAATCTGTTTGCATCGCTCGAGAAAAAAGTCCTCGTATATTTATTTCATTAAGAAGATTTACAGCAAAAAAATAGTACTTTTTCCAGCTATGGAAATCTTGAAAAATATTTGTTGTATTTCTTTTTTTTTTATTTGAGAGCTGCGAACAACCTTTTAACGAAAATATTAAAGAAAAGTTTCAAATTAATATAGAGTTTAGAAAGATTAAACAAACTTTCATAAAAATTTCGCACTTTTCATATGGCTTCTATGCGTAAATCGAAAGCGCGCGCATACGGTTAGAACCATTATCATCTCTGCATCAATCAATACCATCGGAAATCTGTTTACCAAACTTCAAAGATCGATCCCAGTGTGCTGAACCGGAGTTTTCCCTACAACACTTGATGATGCTCTGAATGCACAACTAAACCTATCGTTACTTAGGCTGGTTTCTCCAACTCAACTTAACTTACTTTAGCCATTTTTGGACTTAAGTCAAAAGTTAGCCTACCTTTTACACAGCTTGTCCTTGACTAAGTCCAAAAAAATTGGCTAAACTAATTTAAGTTGAGTTGGAGAAACCACCCCTTAATGTCTTTATCCGCGGTGAGACTCTTACGGCCAACTGCGGGCTTAAAAGAAATGGGTGCTTGTATGATACAGTGTAGATTGAGGCGGGAATTACTGGAAGAAAATGCCTAGGCAATAATGTCTTCATTGCCACCGGATAGCAGCCACGATTGCCTCTACTGCAGAGATATAAGAAATGCTTAGTGCTACTGACCTAGAAATGTTACCCATTTAACGGGCAATTTGCTTCGCTTCCTTAAAATATGTGGCAATCATGCGGACATATCACTTCTAAGCAAAGGTCATTCATTTAACGCTTAGGTATGGCTTTGTTGTGTATAAATAAATCTTTGAGCTATTCTTGGAGATAAATTGCCAGTCGCTCTAGATTATTTTCAATTAAGCCTGCAGTGTGATGCGTTTAAAACTTAATTAAATTCAATTGTGGCGCGCACAAGTTCAGTAGTAGAATGCCAGAGATTCGTACCGCGTACGTTTTTTTTTTTTAATTGTATTGACTCAAATGGAGCCGGAAATTGCTTGAACAAAGTTGTTTTCCAATGCGTTCAAAGTTCGCGGTTTATTCGTATAGGCCAGTATACAGCTCTCAAGGAAACGGTCAAGAAAAAGGTTGCTATTATTTCGGGAATTTCGACATCTGATACTTCATGTCACAGTATTTTTCTGACAGGTTATGGAAAATAAGAAGACACATCATTTCCCAATAATATTTGCATTAGTAATTTTATATGAAATTCAGATTTATTAAGGCAAAGAACATATCTAAAATCATCCAAAACTATTTTAAATATTTATAACTCTTATTTTATAATCAAAATTTTAAAAACGTTCCTACTTTTGGCTACTTTTCTCTTTTTTTAAAAAATGTGAATTTTCTATAAAAATAGGAGCGTTCCTTATCTCCCAGAAATAGTCAGAAAAAGTCCGAAGTAGTCAGATTTAGTCCAAAAAGCGTTCCTTAACTCGAAAATGACACCAAAAATGAGAGAGCAACACTCAGTGAGAGTGACTCTCATCAGTCCGAAGTAGTCAGATTTAGTCAGAAGAATTTTTTCTGGCAAAATCCTAAAAGTGTCAAACTCAACTAAATTTAAATTAACGGAAATTAAAGAATACGCAAAAAGTGAGAATAATCCAAAAAGGTAAAAAAAGGGAATTGAAATTGGAAGGAGGCAAAAAATAATTGATATAGTAAGTTTTTATTGTGCTTGTGCTTGTGTGAATGTGTTTGTATATACATTTCCATTCTTATTTGACGATAGTTTTGCTGTTGCAATTCTTTGGACTAAAAATTTGGTTTTTTGCGTTCCTTTACTTTTTCTGTTATTCTCTTTTAGTGAGCGCATTTTGCTTACGCTCTGCCATTTTGACACTTTTCAGACTTTAGTCCAAAAAGATAAGGAATGAACCCAATGCATACCAAAAAGTTTTCGAAAAATCCTGAATAAAAAATTTTAAATTTTTGTGAAAATTTGTTGACTTTTTATAATTTTTGTACAAAGTTTGAAATTTGGATTTATGGTTTCTCCAACTCAACTTAACTTAGTTTAGTTAGTTAGTTTTCGGGCTTAGCTAAGAAGAGGCTGAATAAAAAGTAGGCTAACTTTTGACTTAAGTCCAAAAAATGGCTTGACTAAGTTACATATCGCTAGCTTAGAGTGCAAAGTTGCTAAGTCCATTTTTTTCAATTGTACAGGAGACACAAAAAACGTTGCTAAGTAATTTTCTTTAAGTATTTTGCAAAACTTTGAATGCAATGTTTCGCGTTTTTCATTTACCCTTTATTAAAAAAAATAATAATAAAAAAATCGGCTTTTTTACAAATTTTGTAGATAATTTTTTGACTTAGCAAATTTTCTACTTTTTTCTTAAAATTTTTTTGTTGGACTTAGCAAATTTTCCATGAATTTTTCCAATATGTACAATACGAAAAATCCATCTCGTAGGTACATTTTAAGAAACAATTTGTTAGAACAAATTGTTTAGGTTCTTTTAAAAATAATAATAACACAAGGGAACAGTGATTTTGTTGCATCAAATGTTAAAGCTGTTTTTGATAGACTTTTTTCTGCTGATTACTATAAGTGACCATCAATTCGACGTACAGGGATGGTATTTTCAGAGATAGTACTCGAGATTTCTGGCTTTAATTTAAGCCTAATATCACCTTTAGTTTCTTTGCTATGGCTTCTAAAATATTGCAAAAAACGCGATTTTTTGACACTTTGACCTCGTTTTTTTTTCAAATCTAGAGCTGATGGAGACTTTATACTTACGGATTCGTAATCAGCATAAAAAGGTCTATCCAAAACAGCTTTAACATTTGATGCAACGAAATTGTTTCCCATTTTTGTTCCCTTGTGTAATAGATTGGCGCTTACACATATGTTAAAGTTTGGCCGAGCTTCTCCTCCGATTTGTGGCGTGCGCCTTGATGTTGTCACACAAAGGGAAGGGACTTACAGTTTTACGCTGTTTTTCTTTACAGAAATACACTCGGAGGTTTGCCATTGCCGGTCGAGGGGCGACCGCTGTTAAGGATAAACCTTCTCTTCACTGAATAGGCACAACTTCTAGAAACACTAGTTTACTTATGTTTATGCGTACAATATAAAAATTGCAAATATAGGAAAATTACAAAAAAATTTTGTTAAACATTTTTTTTTATTTTAAAATAATCTATATATAATTGCTCAGTCATACGACTTAGTTAGGGCGATCTGGTGTAGCTACAGAATTGCGTTGTATATCAAATTAAAGTGCAAGCTGCAATTGCGATTACCGTGTTTGTCACAAAAGTAAAATTGGCAGAAAAATTAATAGTGAGCAGTGTAATCTATAGAAAAATATTTACCAAATATCCGTGGAATTTTGATTCGGATTCGTGTTATTCATAGTTTCGAAATTTATTTCGCGAAAGCAAAAAATAAAAATAGCTTAGATCACTTTCTTTTTTAAACACCTAGGATATCACTGACAAATTTAAAGGGCCCAGGATGACGGTAAAATTCAAAATTCTAAAAATTTTTTGATGCGATTTTTGAAATGAATGATCCAAATTAGCCGGTATACATATTTATGTATATTAAAATTTGTAGAATCAGTACTTAGTAGAATTTTTGTACTGAAAGTGTTAAGAAAGCTTTAGCTTAAAAGCGTGATACCAAATGCCTTTCACCATGAAACGGCGCCAATTTTAAAAGATTATTGCGTCTCAGACTACGGCTAATAAAGCCCTTGGTCGGATATTGTGAAAGGTTGGACTATACCTTAAAAATTACTGTTTTCTCGCGGGCCACTGTAGAAGCTATGAGTAGAGTAAGGCCCTTTGATAACTTCAAAATTATCTTGGGTTATCAGGTCTCCAGCAATACAAGATTAATTGTTGTCTTTCGCGAAGTTCTTTAAATAAATTTTGAGCTAAATACTGAGCTATATTCATGAACATCACGTTTTATTTTTTACTTAAGTTTAAATACTTAGTATCTGCAAGTATTTCTTTAATGCATTCACCCGAATTTCGAGGGGGTTATTACTAGTTTGTTTATAATCTGAATGATTTTCAACATATTATTATCATAAATCTGAAATAGCAAGTCTCGCCTTCAATTTGGTAATTATTACGTGCCGATCGAGTAACCTTTACCAAAGTTATATCGAAAAACTTAAGTGGATCTCCAGTTTTTTTCTAAAAAAAAAATCTCTGCAATTTTATAAATAACCTTTAAATGAAAGAGCCGGATTACAGAAAAGTATGCCAGGGAGTGTCTTTTTTCGTTTAAGCTTAGTATCCAGCTCTTAAGAAAACGGTCAAGAAAAAATTGCCATTATTTCGCGTGTGTGTCCAAGGAATTTTGACATTTTTTATACCTCACAGCCTGTTGCCTCACTCTTTCCTCAAGAAATAATGGAACGGGCATATATTTCTGTTGCAAACCTGGGTTGCCTTGTGATCTTTTTTTCACAAAAAACTTTAGAAAACCGTAGTAGAAAGCGTACTAAATTTCTGAAGAACTGCGTACTGTCTTAAGGAAATTTGACTCAAGAAAATTTCTTAGCCATTTCTTGTACGTCATTTTATATGGAGTTTTTGCTTTTCTTAAGAGCTGGATACTAAGCTTTAAGCTGAATGCAAAGCAATATCGTCCAATTGGCGAGTCCTCAAAAGGATTTTCCAGGATATGTTAAAGACTATTGCATTGCACCTACCTACAGTTACTTTTTCACATAATGGAATTAACTAAAATATTTATGTACACTTGTTGCACGTCCCCTACTTTCATATAACGGCAAATTTAGAAACCACGAAAAATGGACTTAAAATGGGCCCTAATTGTATTATGTTAATGTATGCAAATACTTATATTTATGCTTGCAACTACTATTAACTTGTCAAAGGATTACTAAATTTAATAACCCTTAATTTGATATATCGTCCTGTTTATAACAATTAACGCATTCCATAGATATTACAAGCCAAAGTTTCATTTTCCAAATTCCAACACTTTGATTCAATTGCGCGGGCTAAATATAAGTTTTAAATTAATCTTTCTTGACCAATAACAATTGGCTTAGACCTTAGACATCATAATATTACTATTACAACGCGGTCAAATGCCTTTTATTTTCCCTCATACAAAATCGACCCAGCCTAATATACATATGTACATAAATATTCAAAAATAATGTTGTTGCAAAACCCTCAATACAAATCGAATTCGATAGCGTAAAAAAAAATATTCATATTTTTTTTGGACTTATCAAATTTTCTGTGACTACTTTCGACTTAGCAATTTTGCACATCAGAGAATAAAACGGGTAGAAATAAAACAAGTAGTTAGATCCTTTCAGAAACGGTGCATTTTCAATATTCCTTGCTTCCTGCATCAAAAACTAATTAATTGTTCATAAAAAGTGGACTAAGCAACATTTCACTCTAAGCTAGCGATATGTTGAGTTGGAGAAACCTGCCCATAGTGTTCAGCACTGGATTTAGACTAGGTGCACTCGAATTTTGAAATATAAATTCAGATAAGTGCATATTTATTTATGTAATGTTATTTAAATATCTAAAGCGTTCTAAATTTTACTCGTATTTTTGATAATGGGCCGAATTCTTGTTTCCGTATGAATCGAAAATTTGAAGTTTTTGTTCAGAACTCTATTTCGATTAGTACGAAAACAAGTATACGGCCTAATAATTCAAAGTAATTCAGTTATTGACTATGGACTGTGCCTAAAACTATGCCACAAGAATTTATTTTATGCAAACACCACTGTTTGCTCACACATTCATCCAGATTCTTTGGCATTTTTTATTTACGAGATTCTATGCTGTAATCCAAAGATTGCAGAGAGTAGAGATATCAGTATAGCTGACGTGATTGGACTGATCAAAGTAGTAAATATCATGGTAAAATATCAGACAACTGTTTAGTCGAAGTTTTTACTACCAGTATTAGGAAAACAAACGTGCTTATATAGTACATATGTATGTATGTAAATATTCGTATGTACATATGTATGAATAACTATTTATGTGCACGCCTTCAATAAATGAATCTTTGTTAGAAGGTGGCAGACGGCCAGCAATCTGATAATTGCGCATTTCAAATAACTGCGACGGGCGACACAGACAGCCCAGGCGTTAATAATGACTCGCAATTCAAACAAAATCGAATCAAATTTCCACAGTTGGAGAGGCCAATGCCTCTGCAGCGCAGCGCTTTAAATACACAAAACACATATGAGCGGCTAAAAATAAAACGTGACTTTCGTTGGACGCCGCCGCAGAAATGTTGACAACGTGTCACTTGCAAAACAAATATGTACATATGTATGTATATGTATGTGTGTACATACGTATGGCTTGAATCTTCAAGCCGCAATCACGTGAACAGAAAGGCTGTGAAAATAAAGCCTGCGATTCAATTGAATTCAATTAAAGAAATAAACTTAATAAATAGTCTCAGATGGCGAAGTAAGAATAAGCGCCGTTTTAGGTCAATAGTTTCATTTCATTACTGGCTACATATGTAACACCAGCAATTAGCGAATAAACCAATTTCCATAAGTCTTAGGGCACAATTAAACGATTTCGTAAATATACCAAGCATGAGCAGCGTTGGCAGAACTCCATAAGCAAGAGCAAAAGTTTTGCCTGTGCTTCCCATCGCTGAAATAGACATACATATGTATGTACATATGTAGGTTAAGCTGGATTGGGCGGCAGCCCAGAGTAGCACTCACTTAGACTCAGGGTCCTTTGTGATACCGCATGAGGTTTTTTAATTATCCCCATTCCCCTGTAAAGCACTTGGTGCGTTGAGCGTTTCTGGCTGGCCAGAGTGTTTTGCCAATGTGACAGGTCGGTTCTATTCGCCATCTTTCATTGTCAGTTTCTAAGAATTTTTCAATCAGTAGAAATTAGCATGTTTGAAAAGGGATGCCGAGGGGTAGATATCCCTTATGTCTGTATCAGGCAAAGTCGTTCCATGACGCGCAAGTGCGTCAGCCTTGCAGTTTCCCTCAGTGTGGCAATGGCCAGGTACCCAGACAACGTCTGCACTGAATGTCTCAGCCAACTCGTTGACAGATCGGCGGCATTGAGCAACTACTTTTGAAGTCAGCGACATATTTCCTAGAGATTTAGTTGCCGCCTGGCTGGCAGTAAAGATGTAGATATCATGACTAGGAATCATATCACACTGTACCAGTGAGTGATGCGGCCTTTGAGATGAAAATTGGTATACAATACACATTTGTACATACACATGTACCTGAGAATAGAACTGCCAATATAAAACATACTACATATCCTCGCTACCATGTCAAACTATCGAACGTGAAAATGGGTATTTTTCAGGAGAGCAAAAAAAACGGCTGTAAAAAATGTTGTTGTATCACTCTAAACGCATGCGCAAGGTATCGTAATTAAAAAAGCATTTTCGCACATTCAATAGTTTGTTGTATATTCCAACTTAATTTTCGGAAAAATGGGGCCTCTGAAAACTCTGGGCCCGGGGAGAAACAGCCCTCTCACCCCCTCTCGTCGGGTCTGGGGATTTATGTATATATGTATGTACTTACATACATATATATACAAAAACGTTAAGTCTTACAGTTAATTAAATTGTCATCGTACACACCTGAACCAATGAAGTATGGTATGGGACCCAAGCCGAACTGATAGAAGAAAATGTAGCCCATAACGCAAACAATACAGAACATCGGGAACAAGCTGGATGTATCCTGCAATGAAATCATTCCAAGATTAGTTTAAAAACAAACAAAAAACTGATGCCAGCCATCAAAAACTCACGATATAGTACAAAACAAAAGCGATCGTAAAAAGGAAGCCTGCACAAATACCGCTGGAGAACAACATCAACGGACGACGATTGAACTTTGACATCAACAATGGACCCATTAGGGACACACACAAATTAAGGCAACCAGCGCCCAAATTCGCCCATTCCGCATCGGCTGTGGAAAGTCCAGCTTTCTCAAAAATTGATACAGAATAGTAGAAGATCTGTTAAAGTATAAAATTAGCATTGCCTTTCTAATACGAGGAATTATGTATATTTAAATTCCCTTACCGCATTGATGCCAGACAACTGTTGACCGCCTTGAAATGCGCAGACAATTATCAAAGGCAGCAGCAGGGACGGATCACATAGCACCGAAAAGAAGCTGCGTGTTTGCACTTTAGTATTCGCTTCGGCTTCCATCTCATCGATTTCATGATTGATCAAAACCAATGCATTGGGTCCCTTACATAGGCGACGTAGTTCACTGTGAGCCAGCTCGTGATCGCCACGTACAATGTAAAGATATTTCGGACTCTCCGGAAAGTAGTATGCCGGTAGGTAGCATACTGCCACCAACAGGATGTAAAAGCTTAAGGCATAGTGCCACAGCTCCTCCGTACCGAAGATATAACGCAAACTAAATACTTGCCCCACCACGACACCACCAGTCACACCAATGGCGCAAAAGACGCCAAATGTGCCACGCAGTGGAAGTGGTGCAATTTCTGTGAGGTACATCGGCAATATGGCTGTTGTTAGGCCAGAAGCGAGACCGACTATCAAACGGCCAAGTAAGAGCATTTCCACAGAGCCGGCAGCGTGGCAGAAGAAGAAGAGAATCGCACCAAACGTGAATAGGCCGCCACTGATGAGAAAGCAAGCTTTTCTGAAATTGAAAAGAAGTACATACATATGTACATAAATACGAAAAATAAAATCTAAAAAATTCATAGAGTTTGTAAGTTCGATGAAATATCATAAAACTAAACCAAACAAATAGCAAACAAATAGCAAACAATTAAAGTTGTGGCGCTTGTGCCACACTAAGCAAGGGAAACTACTTTCGATTCAATACTTGTGCATTTCATTATGCATAAATTTTTATAAATTTAAACATTAGTATCTAACGAATAATTAGTGTTAATCAGAGATGGTGAAAACGGCCTATCAGCAGCAACGGAAATGCTAGGCTGTCCGAAAGTCTTTCTTTGTTCTTTGGGTGGCGGGAGTACCGACTGACATGAACCCACCTCACCTACAGGGGTGATCGGTAGATAAAATTCTTATAAAGTTCTGAACACATTGAAAACGACGAGCTACCGACCACAGCTTCCAATTTGTCATCTTTATTATCTAAGCGCTTTGTCGATGGCGACATGATTTCTTTGAACGCGGCAGCGACATCATGAATTTGTATGAGTTTGACATAAAAGAAGAGGAAGAACTTTATCTGTCGCCAGAAAAATAGAAATAGATCTCATCTGGCCACAACCACAGCCGTCGCGTAGCCCGGTCGTCGCCAAAATAATTATCTACATAAGAGTACGTGTTAAAATAATTTGACAGCTGTGGTTTGTAGCTCGTCGTTTTCATTGTGTTCGGGCTATTACAGTTATTAGAAAATGCTACATATGTATGTATATACATAACAAATTTGGCCTATTATCCAACAAAAGCCATATAAATTCTTAAATTTTGCACAAAAATAATAAAAATTCTGCAAAATTGCATATTAATTTTCAACTTTTTAATCAGATTTTGCAGAATTTTTTTAAAATGCAGTTTTATTAAGTTCATTAAGTTCAAGCATAATAAAGCGCATGTTGAAGTTTTCTGAATTTTTTTTTGTGACTGAATTGAAGAAAATGGGTATCCAAAATTCAACGCTATTTTGTACCAACTTTTTTTACTAAGATTTAATAGGTTATAAAACTGCATACTCGAAACAAGTTTAAAAAATGTTTAAAATTTTGCAGAAGTTTTATAACTTTTGCACAAAGTTTGAAATATGAATTTGTTAGATAATGAGCTATACTTTTATAACAAAATAATGAATATTAAATAAACAAAATAAAAATAGCCAACATTTTTTTTAAAGATGCTTTTAAGGACTATGAAACTGAATAATAATACTCTCTACTCAGCTTCGGCGAGAACATAATTTCCTTAGCACACATACCCGCATTCTTTTTCTTATATTTTTCGGTTATTAATTTGAAGTTAGAAAAGCATCAACATTTTAGCAAACAAAAATTTTGCGAATTTCGCAATTATTCGCAACGAAAGTCAATCTGAAAAAACGGAGGCCATTTCTCGACCCATCGGTCTAAATATGACCTAGAAATATAAATGCCACTCCGCCTTTTTCTGTAAAAGCTTTGCTGATTGCATAAATACGTCACAAAAATGATTCTGAGATAAGTTGCGTGTTTTATTTTATTATTTAACACCAAATAATTTTGACCAGTTTTACTACGCAAATACTCATCTGTGCATCGCTAAAAAAATAACCTACAAGTTTAAGTAGAAATTAAAACTGTAGGTCAGTAACTAACCTGCCGAATTTATTGGCTGCATTAGCCCCTCCAAGCGAGCCGATAGCTCCGCCTATTAGAAAAATCGATACCACCGATGACCATAGCAGTTCTAAACCGGAAGCACTTAGGTTAGCACCATAACGCGCATGCAGTGTTTCATTACACCACGCCTTTATAATCTATACAAAAAAAAAAATAAAAAATAATAAAACGATAAATAAGTAGATAATCGAAATGAAGGCATTTAATAAACAGAAATGTGCGCATGCTAATCATAAACATACTACACATGAACTTACCGTTGCCGGTGCGTTGATAACACCGATACAGTAACCAACTGGAACTGCAGAGCCGAGTGTGGCGGCAAAGCCCACCAACGCTATCAGGGCGCTCCATTGTGGTTTCTGTAACGAAAGAGAGCATTTGTACATAATATATGTCAGTAAAAAATAGTTCATTGAAGAAATTACAAAATAGAGTGAGTAGATTGGAACGAACAAAAACTTCAAACTAACAATTAAATATAAAAATTAGCTGTTCCTTAAATTTGCGTTTTTTTGTATTAATTCACTTATTTCTTGGCATTTCAACCGCTGCACTACAAAATGTTTATTTTACTCTCTAATTGCCGGGCCTACATCGAGTTCTCAACACTGGCGGAAGAGGAAGAATGAGTGCAACTGCTAGTACTATACAAATTTTCTTGCAGGGTATGCAATTGCCTATTTAAAAACAATGAAATAGCTTCTTATCACAGAAATACTTTTGCGATTTGAATTTCAAATATTTATGAGGTTAAAGTTCTGCTATTAATTACGTACCATTTTATAATTAGCAAAGTCACATAACTTACGAGCTATCAAAGTAATGATTAATTAAGTAAATAATTTTATAAACAATAAGAGGAAATAATGTCATTTACGTAAATGTTTTGTGATTATCACGCGCTGTGACGGTCAAGACCCATTGCAAATATATGTATACACACACTCACTATCACTAATCTGATAACTTTATTGACCGTTAAATTTTCCGCTAAGGCGAGGCAAATAATTGATAATTAGTATTAATTAAATAACAACATCAATTACTAATTTATCAAACTTGACGGATGGAGGGAGCAAATAAATCAAAGTTAAGTATTGAGTAATTGAATAGTACACAAGCGTTTTACCAATTTAATTTTGTAAAAACTAATAACTACAACAGCGAAAAATTTATAAAAGCTATAAACAGGTCTATTCTGTGCTGGTAACAATAATTTTTGACGGGTCACTAAAGTTCCTGTTTCAGCTTTAGTTAATTAAATTTTGAAATTTTTGAACAGGCCTCTAAATAGAGTAAACTATTGACACGTTCGTATGTGAATTTATTAGAAAAAATTGAGATTTATATGAGGGATTCAAAATCAATAGATCGCCGTTGTTGTTCTTAGAGAATGACGCCCTGGTCTTGAAACCTTCCGTAAGTCGCCTAACTCTCTGGTAAAATTTTCGGGCATTCTTCCTGTCGGCCAGCATTTCAAGCTCTTCGCACTCACGCTCCTCACGGGGGGTTCTCATCCGAGGATTTACCTTCCTTGTTCATTGTACTTATAAAAATGGAAAAATTTTTTCATTCTGGAACGAGCTACCGTCATCCCCTGTCACGTTTGGTTTGGAGATACTGATAATTTAGTTCGATTGAAAAGTTTATCCTTTGATACTTTCTTTGTACACGAAAAAGAAAGAACAAAACTAAATATGTATGACCGTAAGTAATTAAATACTAAGTAAATTTTATGAATCATCCATGATAAGTCAATCAAAGTTCATGATACAAATGGATATTTATGTATTTATTTGCTTTTATTTTAGCCACATATTACCACCTATTTTTCTGATTCCAAGTATATCTATATCTATGTATGCATGCATATTAAGGTGGTTCAAACAAAATTTAAAATGTTAAGCTCTCACCCCCAAAGGGTTGTTCTAAATGGAATAAAAAATAACCGGATTTTCATTTTTTTTTTTTTTGTTAAAAAAATATATTTAGAATTACCCTCAAATCCCATGAAGTCATCTATTTTATACGGCAAAAAACGCATACAACTGTTTTTTAACATTTCTTAATACTAATTACTTTGAATATATCCCCATTGCATTTTTTGCATTCATAGGTAATAATGTATGTATATTAAGCTATATGGTCAGATAGTATGTATGGATATATCATATCATATCATGTAGGCACAATTTTATTTAATATTATAGTTTTATTTAATATTAGAGCTGTTTTATCCATTCGTTTATTACCTATTCTAACTTCAAAAAATTATAATAACTAGTGAACCCTCCTCATGGCGTCAAAACGCCAACATTTAATTAAATTTTTAAATAGGTGAAACCCTATTCAAAAACCTCTAAAAATATTCCTAATGATTAATCTAAACCATTTCTCCGTGATGAGAGGTCTCGCATGGTGTCGGTTTTCATTTTATCAAATTTCAAGTCTCCCTTTTATCAAATTTCAAGTCTCCCATGTATACATATGTACATGTCTACATGTAGAATCCCAGTTCTTTAATTTTACTTCTTATTTTGGAAATTCGAAATAACGGTGCAGATAGAACCCCTTTAAAAGTATTTTCAAACTAAAATCTTTCGCCAGGCATTGTTATAAATTTTTCAATTAACAGATGAATTAAGTTGAATTTAATTTTTTTAAGCACATGGCAACTCTCCTAAATACAGTTTAGAAATAAATTATTTTCAAACCCATTTCGATTGATATCCATCTTTTGACAATCCATTTAACTTATTAAATAATTTGAGCTTAATTTTTTCAACAAAAAAAAAAAGTTCAATCTAAAGATCTCTTAACGCTCGTTCTTTTGATAAACATATTTTAAAATTTCATGTAACTTATGTATAACTAAACGAAATACCACTTTCAAATCAGGCGGCAACCCTCTTAAAAATTATTTTCGAACTAAAATTTCCTTAAATATTTTTCGTCTAACATTATCATAAATATTTCAAGTAACTGATGAATTAAGTGGAAATTTATTTTTTAAACACGTAGCGATCCTCCTAAATACAGTTCTTAAATAAAGGATTTTAAACCCATTGCCAATGATATATATCGGTTAGTAATTCATTTAACTTATTAAATAATTTTAGTTTAGCCCTTTAAACTGGGGCAACCCTCAAACTCATCAAAAATGTTCTAAGTTGTCAAACTAAGTTGGGGTATTCACAACGGTGCCGTAAGTGTCGTATTGTTGTATGTCGTAAACCTTAAACGCCTAAAAAATATATTAAGGGGGTTCGCAAAGTACCATCAAAATCATATTTTGAATTTTCGCAGTGGTAAAAAATAGTTGGTTGTGGTTTCAAGTTCTCTAAACATTTATTTATGCTTTTAAAGTTTACGACATACAACAATACGACACTTACGACACCGTTGTGAATCCCCTAATAATAACTTGGGTATAAAATAGTTCAATTGGGCTTCTCAAATAGGTGGCAACCCTATTCAAAATATTTCCAAACTACTATTTCCTTAAACCTCTTTTGTATGACACCCATATAGTGATACCTTATTCCTTTAATTACAATTTAATTAAATTTTTTTAACATGTGGTAAGCCTCCTATACGTAGTTAAGTTATAAAGCCTTTTAAAATCATTTCGATTGATACCAATATTTAATAAATGATTTAACTTTTTAATTAATTTGAGCTTAATATCTTAATAGGTGGCAACTTTTTTCGAAAAAGTAGAACCTTCTTGAACATCCACACCCTAAGTCCTTTAATTTGGTACCACACTTTTGAAAATCGAACGGACGGTGCGGATCTGAGGGCATTGATTAGTAAATAATTTGAGTTTAATTACTTAACTTAAAACCAGTTTGCACGTCTACAGGCCAAGCGCTTTAATTTGACACCCCATTTTTGAAAATCGAACGAACGGTGCAGAGCTTTTATGCCTTCGCGTATTATATATATACATAGATAATATTAATGTAGGTCGACCCAATTAACAGCTTATGGGAAGCAGGTCAGAGTAATGGTAGCATGCAAGAAATACAATGCCAAATACAACAAAGCAGCAGACAGTGGGCACTTATGTTAGTAAAACACACATGTTCGTTCATATAAATTATACTTTTGCTACTTTTCTAATACGTTCTAATGTATATTTAGTAGGTACACACGAGTATATACAAAAATAGCATTTACATATCCAAATACATATCGTGTAAGAGAGCTATAAGTATCCACAAATGCGAGAACTACAATCTGCAGACAAATGCATACGCATTAGCGTGGGCCGAAAATCCGCTTTTTTAGAACTTTGATTGGTAATATACCATTCCTGCACCTTGACCATAAGGTTACCTATAGTCATTTATTTAACAGCTAACACTGATTTTTACACCATTTTTGACGATAAAAAGTAAATGAGTATAGGTGACCATTAGGGCAAGGTGCAGGAATAGTACTTTCAGGTATGGTAGTCTGTAGTTCTAGCTTTAATTTAAGCTTACGTGTAAGGTTCTATCACCTTTTGCTTAATTGCGGTAAGAACTCAAACTTTCCAAAATCAGTTATTCCTGTTCAACAAATAACTATATGGGCTGGTTTCTCCAACTCAACTTAACTTAGCTAAGCCAATTTTCTCGACTCAGTCAAGAATAAGCTGTGTAAAACGTAGGCTAACTTTTGACTTAAGTCCAAAAGTGGCTAAACTACGTTAAGTTGAGTTGGAGAAACCAGCTCTAAGTGACCATCAAGCAAAGGTGCGGGAACTTGCTTTAATCAAAGCCTAAGTGGAAGGTTCTACCACCCTTTGTTTCTTTGCTAGAGCTTCTCAAATATTGCAAAAAACTCGATTTTTGACAATTTGGCCTCGTTTTTTCTTAAAATCTGGAGCTGATGGTAACTTTTTGCTTACGGATTCGTAATCAGCACAAAAAATCTGTCTAAAATAGCGTTAACATTTGCTGCATCAAATTTGTTTCCATTTTTGTTGGCCTGTGTAATAAGTATTTTGAAATAGCATGTTCACACCTTTCGAACTGTAAAACAATGACTCAATTCGATTGAAGATTTTTTTGGAATTGATCGGTTCTGGTCCACCTATCAGAAAGAATATCAAATATGTTAACCCAGCCAATAAGCTACCTACGTGCTAAATTTCAGGTAAATCGGACCATTTCGAATAGTTCGGTCTCTGACCCACTTAACGGAAAAAATGAATCCTATATGCTAATCTAGGCAAAAGGCTACCAACGAACCAACTGCATTTTTTTAAGCATAGCTCGACCCCTGCGCCAACTATCGGAAAAATTAAAACTTTGTGCACTCCTTCTTCTAAACACGTTCCCAAAAAAGCAGCATCCATTCGAATCGGTTATGAAACATTGGAGAAAATTGTTCCCAATTGATTCAAGCTCCCAATGAATTTCACAATTATCCGAAATTTTCCCAGCTTTCGTCGAAAAAAATTCAATTTGTTTGCCTTCTTCCGAATTTTTCCGAGTTTTCCACTTATAATTTTCTATTTTTCCATTCGAATGCCATTCCGAAGGAATTGCACACAAAATTCCATACAAAAAAATCAATTTTCGATTTTTCCAATTTTCCGACTTTCCCGGAGGGTTTTCCCAAAATTTTCTTTCGTAAAAACCTTCTCCTGGCAATTACGAACAACTAAAAAAATTTAAGCGAAATCGGCCCAACCGTTCTCAATTGATGAATTACTATACATTTTTCACACCATTTTTATATCGTCGTTTAAATTGCAAAACCGCGTATATACAAAATGTAAAACCGCGTATCAGCAAAATGCAAAACCGCGTATGTGAAGTTGTAGAAATTATTTTCTAGAGCGTAAAAACACTCATTGGTTCTCTTTTTTATAAAGCAATCGCATTTCTGGCTAGTGTATTTCAGGATGATTGGATAAGGATTGAGCCAAGAGCTTGTGTGAGCAAATCCAATTTTTGGCAGCCAATGTCAGTTACGCGGTTTTGCAGAATGGCGATACGCGGTTTTGTACTTTAAACGACGATATACATATATATAGATAGGCTGCCACTAGCGTTGATGCAAATTTTGGCTCTGTTTATGGCATGTAGCATCAAGTTTGTCTAGATTTCGGCCGTTTGTGTGCCGATTTCGTGGCGAATATTGTTCTAGAGGGTCTCGATTATCTGAGGTATGTTTACGTTCACCAAACCCTTTAAGTAGACCCACAGAAAATAGTATGGACCGTCAGATAGGGCAATCTCGCTGGCCAACCCAAATCCCCTACTCAAGAAATCAAACAGCCTAGAATAGTGTTCTGGTAGCTTATACCCTTAGTTATAGGCAACTTTTTTTTTGACAGAGATCCCATTGAAAGTTATGTAGAAAGCTGTTTTTATTTTTAGAGTCGACTTTAATTTGATTATAACTAAGGGCCAATAAAAAAAATATAATTTTATTTTACTGCCAACTGAAAAAGTTTTAGAGTCTTCAAATGGGAAGATATTTTTAGCGCCACCTTGTACATATTCAGCTAAACAAGCAAACTTATCGTCGCTTGACGCGCAATTTCTTGTATACGTACGGTGACCATAAATATATTTTGAAAATGCAGGACAATTTTCCAAAAAATTTACCTACATATAATTGCGTAGTATAAAATAACAAAAATATACTACATATATACATTCCTCGTCATTTGAATAGCGCACCCTTTTTTTGATTTTTTACCATACAAAGTATGCTTGACAAAATTTTTATATGGAAGAAAATGCGCAGCACAGTCAACAAAAAAAATGTGGCCCTATGTTTATTTTTTTTAATTTTCAAAAATTTTTTAAATGGGATGTAGATGTAGAATATGCTATATTTTTATAAAAAGTTAATGAATATTAAACAAACAGAAGGAAAACTGTACCGACTAAGTATTAAAAGGATGCCCTATTCAAATAACGAAGAGTGTATATTTCTTAATTATTAATCCAATTTTAAACTTTAAACATAAATCACATTTGCTTCATTGGTATTAATCTTTTAGTAATAAATATTTACAAAATTATAATAAGGCATATTACATATTACTTTTACGAAATATGAACATCTGTAAAGTAAATTTTTTAGGCAAACTCTGGGTCGCTGAACACGAAAAAAATACCCATGGTTTCAAAGAAGTGTTTTCGAGATTGGTTCGAAAAACGTATTTTTAGTACTTTTTCAGTTATTCCTCAATATCTCATGAACCGACCAACAGTTCGAAAGGTATTGATGGGCTCTTTGCAAAAATATTTTTTTTTTGTGCAGATTGTGTCCCGTAACATCTACATTTCTCATCAGATTTCATTTTGGTCGCTTGTAACACTAATTATTTTCATCGAAATCGGCAAAGTAATATATTTTTGTAAGAGGACTGCAGTTCGCTTATGTTGATTGGATAATTTTTTCATGAGATATTGACGAATAGGTTCAAAATGTACCAAAAACACGTTTTTCGAAAAAATTACGAAAGCGCTTGTTTGGAAGAAATTTGGCTTGGGAAATATTTTTTTTTCTTAAGCGATTACCAAAAAAATTTGTAGAAGAGTTTTATCTATATATTTGATGCTGGTCTTCAATTTCTCGTCATCCATTGTTCATAACCGTACAATATTTAGAACGCATTGACTAGTTGAACCTTCAAAACCAGCTTACCCTTATGTAGTTATCAATTAGTTATCGACACTGCTTTTATTTCGATAAGGAAAAGTTAATTTTAAAATATCGAACAAAATGCGGGAAAAATCAGTACATTTTGGGGGTTTTCTGTTTTGAAAAACAACGCAGGACAGACCTTTAAATAACAGTACGGTCCTGCAAAAAACAGAACGGATGGTCACCGTATGTATACGCCAAATGCAATAACACGTACATATCGTCACTAAACACGAATAAAGGCGCGTAAAAAAATTTTGCGAAAAAAGATGCTTATGAAAAACTTCGGCGAAGTATGTTAAGAGTTTTTTATGCGTCTTTTTTCGCCGTCAACTTTTGAGCTCGCGCCTTTATTCGTGTCTAGTGACGATATATTGTAGTCTGAAAATTTCACAAAATAATGAAAACATGATTTTTTTTTTAAACTTCGCAATGGATTACCCTCCAACATCTGACAACAAGAACCACTGTAATGCCGGTCACTGTGGAATCGAAGGAAAGAAGAACACCGACGAACTGGTATACTATTTTACGACCACAAAATCCTGTCGAATCAAGCTTTCTAAAAACCGTTTTTATTGTTTTTGGTCAATATATAATGCTTACATTTGCGCATTATCTATTCAACTCATGTCTACAATGTGATATTTAGTAAACATGTAAGTAGATATGTAATAATGTGTTTATGTACATCGGTATGCAAATGTACCCACATTGACCGCTTGCAAAAATAAATGCATACTAATGTATGCATATTAAATATTTGAGGACTTTCGATGCAACAACTTATCTGATTTTATTGGAAGCTTTAATTTTCGATGAAAGAAATATATTTCGCAGATAAATTATTTTAGCATTGTTGAATTGTTTATTAAAGTCATATCAAGTTAAAAATTAGAATTAATTTAGAGTTTAGTTATTGGAAACAAATAACAAATGCATTAAAAAAATATTACCGAGCAAGAAATAAATAGTTTTGCCATATGTCCACAGATATTCGCAAGTTTGTACTATCGGCATATACATATTTATGTGTGTACATTAAAGTCGTCAAAAAAAAAAAAAATTAAATGTTAACTTCTCACACCGTAGGATTTTTCTAAATGGAAAAAATGCCCGCATTTTTTTTTTGTTTAAAACAATTATATTTAAAGGTTGCATGAAGTTTTTTATGTATTTTATATGTACAAAAAAAAGGATTTTTTGTAGAAACGGTATAGAATGCTTGAAAATAATTTTTGGTAGGGAAAAAAATGTGTCTAAAGTTTTTAAGTCCTATTTAAAGGCCTCAATTTAAGTAAACAGAGTGCGACACTAACCGCTCATTGATACTTTGAAAATAAAATTTTATAAGAATTGCCTGAGTTATTTATAATAATTATTTGGTGCTTACACATGTGCTAAGTATTTGGCCCATGGTGAAATTATCCAAGGTATAGTAATAAGAGCGAGAAGTAAAATTTGACACTATCATATTTGAAAATGTGTTGAAAAAAAAAATCAATAAGATAAGCGAATGTCAAGAAAATACAGAAAATAAAGCGAGAAAGCTGCTTTATTACTACACCTGTTTTTGGTTTCACCATGTCTTTGGCCGGGCTTCTCCTACAATTTGTCGCGTGCGTCTTGATGGTGTTACACAAATAGCCTCTCCATTGAGTTTTACGCCGCCTACAAACGGCAAATGGTTGTTTATGAGAAGCTTTTTTTCATGGCAGAAATGCACTCGCAGGTTTGCGACTCTTTTGTTGGCGGTATTGTGCATTTTTCTCCATACAAAAACATTGTCGAACATACTTTTAATGGAACAAAATGCAAAGCTGCTTCCTAAAATTTTGCTAAAAATTATTTTAATAAATTACATTATTTGTTTAGAATTTACAAAAATCTTAAAATTTCAATCAAAAAGAAAACTTGGGAATATTCTATTGACGTCCAAAGGCAAAGTACCTCCGCTTTTCGAATTTCAATTTTTTTTTGTTGCCGCTCAACCCTAATATACATACATGTTCATATGTACATACAATGAGCCTGCAACACATGCTTACTATGAAGCACTTGACCTTTAAGCGTCACAAATCACACAAACAACAAACATACCTTGAGTACATCCGTTGCCTCGTGCAAGGACAATTTAGTGCCATGAGTTAGTTCAAATTTTCTCGACAGTTGTCCATTTTCAGGATTCAGACGTTCACTTTGTTCAGACATATTTAACTCCATTTTATTATATTTAATTTAAATTTTTTGTTATTATTATTTTGCAAGTTTCTTTCTTATGTACATATGTATGCGTGTGTGTATGTATATATGTAGATATACCGCTGTCGCTTTTGTTTTTATTTACAATATTCGTTAATTTTGTTGATTTTCTCTATCACATTTGTTGGTGCGTATAACTAAATAAAACATGCGCGTGAGCTCGCCTCTCTTACTTTTGCTTGTTGGCTGTCTATTTTTTTTTTATTTTACTTTTTCTTGATTGCTGTAGCTGCTGGCGTTGATACAAAAGGTATTTACCACATATTTTTAACCTCTATTATTGAGTACAAAGGGCTTTTAACAATCGACCGCTGTTAATTTTGTGTTGTATAATTTATATAATCGTTGTTTACAATTGTACAAAGTACGTACTTTCAGTATATTATATGTATATGTATGTATGTATGCTAATTTTATTCTGGTGTCACTCTCTTGATTCAAGGTTTTCTTTGCTTTATTTTTTCACGTCCGCATTACAAAGCCTCACACGTAAGATTAAACAAAAATATATTTTATTAAAATAATATAAGCATTCCTGGCAGTAGCCCACTATATTTAATTTTGTTTTAAGTTTTAAATATTTTCTCTGCAAAACGACTTCCACTTTGGGAGTCTGAAGTCAGACTGCACGTTGAGGCCGTGAAAGCCAACTGGTCATATTCGCATTCGACACCCGCTACGCTCTCTTGTATACACACGTACATATATGTACATACATACCAGTGCTGCCAACTATTTTCGAGTAAAAAATCCAGATTTTTATAAAAACCCGCTGGAATAAAGCTAAATTCCACACAAAAAAGGCTGACAACTAAATAGGATTATATTAATACAATTTTAAGCAATTCATTTGAGACACTACTTAAATTAAAATTATCAATTTAATAATACAGCTGAGATCGAAGTTCTTCAGAAATGAACAAGTAATTTTGAAGCAAAACCAAATCGACTTCAATTATCATACAAGAATTTAAGAGTACTGTTAATTTCTTCATGAGCGAATGATCGGATCTAAGCCAAATTAGTATGGGACCACCTCTGAGGTATCACCTTTCCTTAAAAAAAAAAAACGAATTTTAGAAATCGGTTAGCGTGTTCCAGAGTTATGCGATCATATACATAAAAAAAACTAAATTGGCAGCCCTGATACATGCACACATACATGCACACATTGATACATTTGTATGCAAGCAGCACTGTCATTGACTTTGTTTAACAAAGTTTGTTACCACGTGGACTTGCCTCCCAATTCTACTATGTGTGTACATTTGTTGGGGAGAGACTTGGTGCTCCCCACAGTTAGAGATGGTGTTACCACCTGCAGGGGCGGATCCAGAGTGAAATTTTGGGGGGATCAATGAAATTTCAGAATAGTAAAAACTTTATTTTTAATGCATATGGACAAATCTAAAAAACAGATAGCCTTTGTGTTATTTAGCTTTATTTTCATTGTTCCAAACTATATCAAGCTGACTGCTTTTGGATATAATTCATAGACGTATAATTGAAGCCTCAAAAAATGTTTACATAAATTTGTTGCATAACTTTTGAGTTATGGATGTTTTAATTAAAAAAAGTGAATTTTTAATGTAATTTTTAAGAGGGGAAATATAAATTAAGTCATAACTTTTGAAGCACACCATATACTGGCCTGAAATTTTATGTGCAATTAGTACTTATGTTTACACTTCATATGTAGTAGGTAACTAAATTGTGCTTAAAAACTCTACTTTTCATAATTTTCTAAATTTTCGGTTTATCGCGTATAGTATTTGAAGCATTTCGTTTTAAAAACCGTTTAAGTATGTATTGTATTCTACAAACAATTACGAATAATTTGATACCTTAGCAAGAAATGTGCTTTCAGAATATTAGGTAACAACAGTCTGAGATTGAAACCTTTGAAATACTGCGTCTTTATTTGTCCACTTATTATTATTCCACGAATTTATTTTTTCACCTAATACAAAATCTTTAAGGGGGCGAACTTTCCCCTTTGTTTACCTAACCGCCATGGGTCCGCGTCTGACCACCTGATAACTGCATGAACCTGATGTATATATATATTTACATACATATGTACATATACAAACGTGTACGATCTATATTAAGATACAGATATGTATGTATGTATGTATCTTGTGTCCTAATACAACTTTAAGAGCGTCGAAATAAATCACTCCATTGTTATTTTGCAACTATGCAACAGACTATTTGAGTTTATTTCAGCAAAACTACCTTTATGATAAATTTGTTTAAACGCCTAGTTGTAGGCAACTTGTGGCACATTTACTGCAAAAACTGTAAAACGGAAGCGTATAAAAAGTGAATTGACAAACCGTATCACTGTGGTGCTGCCACCATATGCAAAATTGATAACTTCTCCGAGAACGATATTTGTATGTACATTACATGGTAGGGTATACCACTTTACAAGCAAACGAAAAAAGTTTGCCGTAAACCCTTGGGTCTAAAGTATTTTTGCAAAGCAATTAAAAAAAAAAAAGTATAAGTTTTCAGTTACACCTAAATGCGCCAATTTTATTTTTTTTTTTAAAGTTCTACTGGAATAATCAAAAACGTTGAATGGTTTTTGGTAGGCTTTAATTTACTGACATTAGGATTGCACGCGGTGATAAGAATTGAGATCTTGTTGGTAAGTATTTAAACGGAGTACTTGAGGCCAATGAACTTTGTCTCCTTGATACAAGAACATCGATATATCATTATTTATGATAATACCAAAGAACCTAGATATTAAGAAGAGATACAAGTTTGTAAGTATATTTTAATTACCAGAGGAAAAATATTATAAACATGCAAGTTTTAACTAATTAATCTATGCGCATTTATGTAGCTGTTTTCAATTGAGCAATAAGTAAAAAATATCAATTGAACAATTATGTAATTTGAGATTATTCAATTAAGTGCCACTGAGATTTTTAATTTTTAATTTTATAGAAAATGGACTTCACTGTCTTTACTTCACGAGATGTCTAATTAATTTTTTATTTAGTTTCCAATTTAAAAATCACTATTCGAAGAGTTTTGTATGGAGAGCTTAAATGGGTTTTTGGGTGTTTTCACAAAACTATCACGAATTTTACCATGAAACTTGGCGGGGATGTTAGGAATCGTATATGTTTACATTATTCATCACTCTTTTCACTTTATTAGTAATAGTATTTAACTAATTTAATTCTTTGCAGTTTCACTAACAAATTTTCATATAAAAAGAGCATTTAACACTAATATTTTGATAAATATACGATCTTTGCAATATTCACGTATATTTTGTATACATTAAATGTATTTTATTCTATTTTTTAACAATATACAACGCGTTTAATAACTTCACTACTTTTCTTCAACAAAGAAAACAAATCAAAATGGCGGCGCTTAAAAAAAATCAATACTTCGATAAATAATTAAAATTTTTAATAAAAAATCGTGTGATTTTATATAAATTATTTTTTTTTATAAAAATCAATACTTCGATAAATAATGAAATATTTGAATTAAAAATTTTACCCTGGGGCGCTTTTTTATAGAAATCGATAATTCGATAAATAATGAAAATTTTTATTAAAATCAATACTTCGCCTGCGACTCTTTTTTAAGTAAAACAGTATTTCAATATAAAGTGAAATTTTTGTATAAAAAACCCTCTTTTTTACTACTCTCATTATCTGGCAGCACCAACATCTGTGTTCTTTTCCAACACTTCCATGTAAACAATGAAATTTGTATGGTGAATTGTCCAAATTTAAAAGTTAATAAGTTTTTAAATAGAAACCTCCGCGCTCTGGGGGTTTCACTTTTAGAATCGGAAAAATCTTCTCTACACGCCCTCATTTTTATTTTCTTCAAATTTTTACCGAATTTAAAGAAAACTTTCCTTTGTTAAGCTACAAATGCACACTCCAATAATGGTGAATACCGCTACGAAGCAATGCTGCCACCAGAGCGGATATGCGATACCGGTCCTCAGCTGTTTCCTTATATTTTGTTTTGATTACAAACTCGTATTTGAGCACAACAAAAAATGCGCGATAAACAAAAATTTATGACAGAATTAACAAACAAAGCAAAATGAAAAGAGTTGACGTAGCTACTTATATGTTTGGCATGGCAGATAAAACTTAATACAATTATTTGTTACCGCGAAAGTATTTCAATTAAAACTTATTTCCCAAATCAATAAATTGAGACTGATTATATAAAGAGACTTTAGTGAAATAATATACATAAGTTGAACTTTACGCGGATATAACCACTTAGATAGATAAGAGCAATTTTCCATACCGCTTAAAATGCCAATTCCCACGTACGACGTGTTATTGGAGACAACTGCGGTGGTCAGTACAGTTTTGCAGTTCTTGTCTGGCGTGTAAGTAAACAAAATAATCTGTTATAATGCTTCATTTATAACTTTTATCCACCAGTATTATATGCCGGAAGTACATACAAAAGAAGAGCACAGGCGAATCATCAGGACTACCCTTTATTTGTGGATTTCTCTCGTAAGTAGTGGGCGAACTCTTTATACTTGACTGCAATGCTAGTAAAAATCCCTTTAACAATTTTTCAGAACATCGTTTTGGCTTCGGTATGGTTTACTCACCGGTGAGCGTAGCGTGGCTTTGGTCAATGTTATTGGCATCTTTCTCTTCCTGTGCTATACAATGGTGTACTATGTATTCTCCGTAAATAAAAAGTCATACATGCGACAATTTGGATTTGTTTTATGCATTCTATTTGGCGTGTGGTACTATACGGATTCCATTGAAGCAGATGCGGAAAAAATACGTGTAATGGGTGCGTCTAGATAATAAGTCTCTTTATCGATTTAATGTGTACAAGCATTAAATAAAAAAATTCTACTTATTTGCAGGTCTCATTTGCTGCATAATCACGGTATGCTTCTTCGCAGCACCACTTACAATGTTGGTTCATGTGATACGCATGAAGAATTCGGAAAGTTTACCTTTTCCGCTGATTGCTATGACTTTTCTGGTGTCAG